TCTAGCCCCAGGTCCCTGCACCTCCTCTGCACACGGCCCTGCTGGCAGCAGGGCTCACACAGGGCTGGGGGGCAGGGCCACCAAGCAGATCTCAGCTGGTTGTGGCACTGCTTGATGCTCAAGGCTGGGGAGGAGCCAGGGCCACAGACCCTGCACTGCCCCGTCCACTGGATGGAGCCTGGACCGTGGACCAGAGTAAACACCGCAGGCCGCGGCCAGCAGGACGGGAGCCCAGTAGGGACACTCACCCACATCCCGCCTCCCACTGACCCAGGGCCTGGCCCAGGCTGCTGACCTGAGGGGAAGGAAATCCAAGGCCTGCCCCTCCCCTCCAGTGGTGTCTGGGGATCTTGACGGCCCAGCCCCCAAGGGGCCCCTGTACCCTGATGCAAGCACCTACTTGATCCTGCAAAGGAAGTGACAGACAGTGGCCAGAGCCAGGCTCAAGCCTGCCACAGGAGGCACCACGTCAGGCCCTCCGAGCATACCCCCGGGCAGGCCCCTACCCTGTCCCTCTGGCCCCAGAGTGGGGTCAGACAACCCCACAGCGAAGGCCCAGAAGAGCCTCCTTGAGTCTGGCCCCAGGGCGTGCTGTGAGGGCCCCGCACACGGGCTCCTGGGGCTGGCGTGGGCCGCGTTGGGGGGGGGGGGGCGCCAGGAGGCAGGGGAGGGGCCGCGGGGAGGCTGAGCAGTCACTTCTGAAGCTCTACTTCACAAATGGGGTTCCTCTTGGCCCTCTGACACCCTTCCTGTTGACTCCTGCTCCGCTGCCGCCCCCTCACACACCCAGGTTCCAACAGAGCAGCCTGGAGGGGCTGCAAGTACAGGCGGGAGGGGGGTCCCTCCTGCCCTCAAAGCCGTCCTGGGTGTGTGTGTGTGACATGCCGGCTGTTGCAAAACTGACATTATCACACCAGAGGAACCCGTGAGTCACTGCCCCGGGGCAGGGGCTGCACCCCAAGCCCTCCTGAACAAAGGCCTTTTGTCCCCCGCACCCCACCCCCACCCCCAGGCCAGGCCCGCCTGTGCACACCATCAGACTCACAAGTGGGCAGACACGCCGATGGCGGCAGCAGGCACGGGCACAGGCCAGGGTGTAGCCTCAACATCCGGACATGCTTCCCAGCCCTCCTTGGCCTAGCTGCGGGGCCTGGGCTCCGGGGGCCCCTGAGATGCTGAAGGCGTCGGCTCCTGGCTGACCGTGAGGCAGGGCCCCGAGGTCATGCAGAGCTTGGTGCAGCCCGAACTCAGAGCCCATCGGGTGCACTGTTCAAGCCCAGTCAGTGAGCAAGACCCCGGGGTGCGGTGTCCCACCCTGCTCCCCAGCAGAGGGCTGCCTGCCTTAGATCAGAGTGAGATACAGCCCCCTGCTGTCCCCACCGAGCTTCTGCCCCAGGACAGAGTGCTGGGAGCTTCTCCTTGGGGGTGAGGAAGCCCTCTCTCTTGCCCCCAGCACCCAGAGTCCCCAGCTGTCACGGAGTCCAGCTGGAGGTCTGGCGGCAGCACGTCCCCACCCCAGGGTCCAACGGTTCTGTGCCCGCCAGCACGGCCCCAGCAGCCGGCCCCCCTGACGCCTAGGACGCCAAGCACAGCCATTCCCGAGCTCGGTGACTGGCTGGCCGGGAGCTCCAGCCACTGGGGCCCAGACACTTGCGCTGTGTTTGCTCCCAAGGAGCCTGGCAATTCTAGCTCAGCAAACAACCGGGCAGAGACAGAGGAGGCAAGGGACTCCACCCCCGACACGGCGCACACAGACACAGGAGCGCTGGGCCGCAGGGCAGCTCAGGGAGCCCAGAGAGGGGCACGGACGCTTCCACCCAGACCCACCCCCACCCCCACCCCCGGCCAACTCGCAGTCCCTGGTCCAGGTCACAGAAGTCAGGATGTCCCATCTGGATGTGAGAACCTTCCAGGTGTGCTCAGAGGAAAAGCAGCCGCCCTTAGAGCAGCCCTCCCCCTCACCAGCCCGAGGCCCAACCTGAGGGGGTGAAGTCACACCCCAAAGCTGGGCCCTGGCCACAAAGAGCCAGCCTGTCCTGGCTGTCTCCCAAAGTCCACACTCTTCCAGGTATCCCAGGGCCTGGGCTGGTGGCGGCGGGGGGTGGGGGGGGGTGCTCTTCCGGAAGCCTCTATCCTGTCTGACCCCACAGCCCCCACAGAGAGGATCGTGGGGAGAGGGGACAGGCAGCCTTCTCACTCATAGCCACAAGCCCCCACCCTGGCCCCTCAGCCTCCTGCCACGGGCCTAGGTTGGGGCCTGGCTGCTCCTGGCGCCCAAGAGGACTTTCCAGCTGTTCTGAACCAGATGCCCACATTCCTGTCTGCGCTCAAACCACACAGCACATGGAGGGCACCGGAGGGCAGGCTATGACCCAACCCTGAGACACCCCACCCCCAGTGCCCCAAGGTAGGCCAGTCAGGTGCGGCCAGGCCATGGACCAAGACCGGGGATCTGGCCAGTGGAGGGCTGGGGGAGCCAGAGGAAGCATGCCCCGTCCCAGGAACCCCTACCTAGCACAGCAGGGCCTAGAGCCCTGCCTGGCAAGCCCCTGGCTCAGATGGAGGTTCTGGGACTGAGCCCTAAAAGAGGTCGGTGAGCTCAGCCCATTACTTCCCACGGCTCCTGGGCAGGGCTTGGGGTCAATCGTCAACCTGAGGCTCTCTAGAGCTATGTGCTCCAGCCAGACGCTCAGCCCCCTCCCCCGAGAGTCCAGCTGCGAGACCAGAGAGGCCCCATCTCCCAGCCCCTCCCACTCCCTGGAACCCTGCTCAGGCTGGGCACCCCCGCAAGGGGGCACTTAGGGGACTCCAGACCCTTCCCAAGGGCCCAGGGAGCTTTTCAAACACCACAGTTGGGGTTGAAGGCAATACAGCAGCAAGCTTCCACTGAAGTAGGTCCCAAAGCCAGCTACTTAAGGATCTTGATCTCCATTCGACAGAAGACTGCTTCCCTTTGTATCTGTGAGGGCTGTTCCCGGGCTCTCCCGAAGGCAAGAGAGACGAGAGAAAATGAGGCAGCTGGGTCCAGGGTGTGCCTTTGGGAGCCTCGTCCTGCGCTGGCTCCTTGTTCACACTGGGGGTCCAGCCTGTGCCCTCGGGGGCCTGTCTGAGCCTGGGGCCTGAACGCTGCGACCACCTCAACTCACAGTTCTCGCTGCCGACTGGCAGTCGTGACAGCCCACCCGGCCCCCCATGCCTTAGCTCCCACACCCTCAGCCATGGAGGCTCAGCTGGAGACAGCACCTTCCGGGGGAACTACAGCTAAGTGGCTAATGACCTCTGATTAGGGTGGCAGAAATGGGGAGGAAGACCAGACACACCGGGAGCCCAGAGCAGTCGGGCGCCACAACCTGGCCCTGGCCACCTGCCCACTGTGGGCTCCAAGGGGGTGGCCTGGTTCATCCTTGTCCTCGCCTCTCATCTGTCATCCCCTGTCTGTCACTCTCTGCAGGCCCTGGGTCTCCATCTCTGTCATCACAGCCCCCAGAGCAGGTCTGGATATGGTGAGACCAGCCCCCTCCTGGACCAGGCTGGTGGGCAGGGGGGTTTGACTGGCTGGTGTTGAAGGACCTTCAGAGCTCCTGGATGAAGCGAGGCCCTGGGCACGGCTGGGAGTCGGGCTGGGTGCTGGCCATTCTCTCTCAGCACCCTGTGCCCTGGGCAGTCCGGTCAGCCCACAGGCTGTTACCCCTCTGTAAACGGATGTTGAGCTCGGACTTGGCCGGCCTGGTACCGGACCTCAGTAATCGGAAGTGAGGACAGCGCGTCCTCCCAAGCCTCTGCCTCCCGTGTGCCGCTCCTCTCCCCACCTTCTCACTGGAGACCCCAGAAAGGCATCCGCGCCCCACCCCCACAAGCTGCCAGAAGGTCCCCATTCAGGCCAGGCCGGTGAAGCAGAGACACCCCCCACTCAGCCCCCCAGCTCCTGACGCCACCCTGGGACGACCAGGGCGAGAGGTGGGGACGGGTCATCGGCCAAGCCCGTTGCCGCATGGGCTGGCGCCAGCCCGGCACCACTGCTCTCCTGCCTCATTACTCAGCTGCAGGGAGGGTCCCTCCCATGCTCCGGCCCCCCTCCCCCCTCCCCCCGCTGAGGGTCAGGGTTCCCAGGAGGAAAGTCTGGATAACGGCCCTCGGGGCTCCAACCCCTACCTGCCCTACTCCCTATCGCTGGCCCCCTGAGCCCTTGCCCTACCCCCGCCCCCGTCCCCCATCTGCAGGGTGAAGGAGGCCCTTCCTTGCTCAGCCTTGGAAATGGGGCTTCAGGCCCTGCTGCTGCGGAGCCGAGCCCCACCTCCAGCCCCCAGGCATCTGGGGAGGGGTCAGGGGCCCCAGGGGGGGCTGCCTGCCGAGGACCCAGGTGCCAACCAGAGATAGTATCTCAGCAGCTCCACAGAGGCCCAGACATCCCAAGATCAATTTACATTCTTTGGTCTGGGTTTGCTGGAGCCAGAATGGGGCAGGGATAGAGGGCCCCAGACCTGCCCGGGACCGGCAGGCGGGGCCTTGGCCACCCCACCTGGAGTCTGCATCCACCTGATGTGGCAGCCACCAAGGAGAGGTGGGGAGTTAGCGAGGTGCCCTGCCGGCCTGGGCCCCGCCCCAGCCCCACCCCGCAAACACATGTGCACTCAGCACCCAGAAGTGGGCAGGAGTGGCCCCCGGGTTCACGCGTGGCGCTGGTGGCCCGCACACGCGTGTTCAACCTTGTGCGTGGGACACACCCGTGTGCTCCCTGCACCTGCCTCCACAGGACATGGCCCTCCCAAGGGCTCCCCACCTTGCCCTTGCACCCCAGACAGGCACAGCAGGCATCCGGCCACCATCTGACCAACTTCCGGGACTTCTAGTGCTGAACAGGTCTGGGCCCCCCGCCCTCCAGGTGCCCACAGACTGCTGCCTCCAAGGCTGGACGTGAGGCCACATGTCCTTCCAGGGCCACACCTGCACCCCCACCTCCGTGACTACACAGTGACCAGGCGATGGGGAGGGCTGAGAGCTCTTTACTGCTGTGACCACAGGTTTTGCAGAGGACGGGGGCGGGGCGGGGGGTACAGGCCCAGCAGCTGCTCCTGGCCCCTGTCTGGCCCTCAGGTGCCCAGGAGCAGGCCGGAGAAGCTGGAGCCACTCTGGATCGTGAGGGTAGTCCCGGAGCCATTGTCCACAAAGACGGAGACGTACTGTCCGGCCTGCAGACACCCCACAGTGGACGTCACCACCCACGGCACCCGCCTGCCCAGAGGGAATGTACGGAGGATGCAGCTCAAGCCCCACCACGCAGCACCCGCCCCAGGGGTCGCCTGGCTGATGCTGGGCAGTGCCAGGTCGATGCTCTGGGTCTAGGCTCCTCCCACCCCGTCCAGCCCCGCAGCCTCACCTGCAAGTGCAGCAGGCCCTGAACTTGCACGGTGAAGAGCCTGCCACGACTCTCCAGGCCCGAGATGGCCTCCAGGGACCTGCACGGGGCGCCGCAGGACGAGGGTGAGGGCACAGCTGGCTGTGGGGCCAGGACCCCACCCCCTACACAGTGCAGTCGACACTTGGGCACCACCCCCTGCGACCCGCCCCCCAGCATTAAGGGTGCCCCCCGGGAAGGCCCACTCACATGTGTCGATGACACAGGGACTCAATGCAGACGAGCGCCCGCACTGTGTCCCGAGCCCGCGGCCGTGCCCTGCCCTGCAGCTCCCTGTGGTCTGTGGAGACAGGCCCAGCCTGCAGCAGCCCGCAGGAAGGACAGAGCAGAGAGGGGCAGGGGCGAGGGCTGGGGGGCTTCAGGACACACGGCCAGATGCAGGCCCAGGAGCGGCTGAGGGCGGGGGGAGGGTGGGGCATGGGCCTGGGTGAGACCCCCCGGAGGTGGGGTTGGAGAAGGAGGCATCTGGGGGCCGGCCCCACTCACCCACGTGCAGGCTGGCAGAGAACTGGAAGATGGCAGTCACTGGGGCTGTGAACCGGCCCGAGGCCAGGCTCACGCCGGAGCCCCGCAGGAGGGCGCCCTGGGCAGTGGGCTGCAGGGACGGCAGGGGGGCAGCTACAGGGCCTGGGCCCTCAGCTTGCACGTCCAGCCTGGGGGAGGCGCCAAGCAGGCCCCAGGTGGGCAAGATGGGGGCGGAGGGTGACCTACGTGTCTCTGCCCACCTGGGCCTCTGGGCACAGGCTCCAGTGAACCCTCAAGAGCCCCCACCTGGAAAGGTATCCCTGCCTCCTGGCCACCTCGGACCCCACCCGAAGTCACAGCACACGAGACCTGCTAACCGGGGCCCAGGTCACCTGCACCCGCATATGCGTACTGGGTGGCTGTCCCGGGCTGGCTGAGAGCCCCGCTCGGTGGTGGGGAGCCGACCCGGCACCACGCCCCCCCTCCGCTGGCCCATGCTGGTGTGTGAGGGAGGCCTGCAGCAGACACCCCAAGCGGACCAGACACCCCAAGTGGACCAGGGCCCCCCGACCCCCAAGCCCACTCACAGCCTGGAAGCCGTGCAGCTCCACCAGGGTCTTCTCGTCCACCACCACGGGGCCCTTCAGTCCACAGTGGAAGGCCTCAGCCACCCGCCCGCCTGTCCCTTCAGGCAGCAAGGGGCCCAGCAGCCCCAGGAACCGGCGCTCAGTGGCCTCTGTGGGGGAAAAGTGAGGCAGGCACCTGGGGATCCCCCACCCCCACCCCAGGGCCCAGCAGGAAGAATCGGGGACAGGGCCTCACCTTTCAGCATCTCCTGAAACTCTCGCAACAGGGCCTCCCGGTTAACTGCTGCACCGGGGGGGCCTGGGGGCCCAGGGGGCCCAGGAGGCCCTGGGGGGCCAGAGAGGCCTCGCTGGGGGGAGGCAAGAGACAGTGAGGGTCCTAGTTGGAGCCACAGCCACCCTCTCTTGGGTTTACACCCCGGGGCTCACCGACTTCTTGTCCCGGCCCCGGCACCGTTTCTTCGAGGCCCCATCATCTGGCCGCCGGACAAAGTTCAGTCATGTCATGTGGGCATCCGAGAACTCAGGCCCCAGGGCCTCAGGTGGCTGCAGGGCCAGGGGACAGGGCTAGTGTGCTGGCCACAGGGCGCTAACGAGTCCTGCCTCGTTGCCCCCAGCAGACAGCAAGGAACCTCAGGGCCCCGGCCGCCTCGGGCAGGACTCAGGGCACACACAAGGAAAACAGCAACGGGGTGCTGCAGGCCACCCCTGGGGGCCCAGAGCGGGATGAGACACGGGACAAGAGCTTGGGGCCTTTGTGAAAGCCAGCGCCTGATGTCCAGGCGCCTTGGTTTGGGGTCTGTATTAGAGTGACTATATCCCCTCCCACGGGACCCTGTTCCGAAGCAGAAGGCACACCTGTGTACAGGCAAGGCCAGCCCCGCAAGTCCCAGCAGAGGCCTGGCCCTGGCTAAGGTGGGCAGTAAAGAGCAGCAGCGAGTTTTCTGGGGGGGCTTCTCGAGAGTCCCAGAGCCATGCAGAACCAGAGAGAGGAGCGGCGCAGGCCTCGCTTTGTGCTGGACATCGGGTGTGTGAGCTGGCGGCCTCGGCCCTCCAGCGGGCCCTGCTCTCGGCTCTGACCCAGGCCGCAGCTGGACAGTCCACCGCACTGTTCGAGCAAGGGCTGGGAGGCCCAGAGCAGAGCAGCCTAAGACCGTGCCCCGTCCCCTCCCGTCACCCCCTCCTAAGTCCAGTTTCTGCACCAGGGCAGGCAGGAAAGGCAGGAGCCCCTTAAGCCCCAGAGTCAAGGAAGGAGAACATCCCGCCGAGTAAGGGGTGTAGGCTGGGGAGAGAATCTGCCTGTCTCCAAGGAAGTCTGCATGCCAGGCTCAAACAGGAAGCTCATAAAATAGGCAGGGACACTGCAGATGTTGGCCTGGCTGGGAGAGAGCCACCACCATGGGGCCAGCAGAGCCCTGGCCGCTCTCTTCGGGCTGACCCAGGCAGGGCAGGCTGAGCGGCCTGACCCAGGGTCCAGGCCATCAGCCAGTCCTCAGGCCCTTCCACGGCAAGAGCCAGGCTCCTGGGGCGGGTGCTGTCTCCTGACTCGGGAAAGCCAGGGCCTCTTCTCAGCAGACCCGACCAGGTCTCTATCCCAGGGGGGACGGGATAGGGTGGGGACCTCCCACCCCTGGTCTGGGCCCCACCCAGAGAAGAGAGGGACACCAAGAGCTTCAGAGTGTCCGGCACCTGGGGGCTCAGTCGGTGAAGCGTCTGACTGTAGCTCAGGTCATGATCTCAGTTTGTGAGCTCGAGTCCTACATCGGGCTCTGTGCTGACAGCTCGGAGCCGGAGCTGCTTCCGATTCTGTGTCTCCCTCTCTCTCTGCCCCTCCCCCGCTCATGGTCTGTCTGTCTCTCAAAAATAAACAACAAGAAAAGGGGGCCCCTGGGTGGCTCAGTCGGCTAAGCGTCCGACTTCGGCTCAGGTCATGATCTCACGGTTTGTGGGTTCGAGCCCCGCGTCGGGCTCTGTGCTGACAGCTCAGAGCCTGGAGCTGCTTCGGATTCTGTGTCTCCCTCTCTCTCTGACCCTCCCCTGCTCACGCTGTCTCTCTCTCTCAGAAATAAACATTAAAAAAAAATTAAAAAAAAAAAAAAAAGAAGAACTTCAGAATGTCCTGGTTCCTTGCATATCTTGATATCTGCCTGAACTCCTGGCTGCCCCCCGCCCCCCGGGCCACACCTGAGGGACCCAGGAGCCCTGAGACACAAGCACATCAGTGGTGTCCTGGGGGCAAGGGCTGCAAGGGGCCGGGGCAAGTGGAGGATGGGCTCACCCCCAGCAGGAAGAGCAGGAGCCGCAGCGTCCGGGGCATGGGTCCCACTGCAGCCCCCACCCACGGAGACCACTCCTGGAAGAGAGATTTTCCTGCCTGTCCCTGGACTGACTCGTGCCAGGCGGGGCAGCGAACGGCCGCTAAGCACCTTCGCCCGGGTGACTGGCCGGGATTGCTCAAGACCCCGTGCGTCGTCGCCCGCGCCTGCCCCAGAGGCTGCGGGTAGCCCGCTTCTCTCTGGCTCAGCCCGCCCATCTGGAACACTGGGCCTCGGGCTCCAACGGGCCGCGTGGGCTGAGAGCAGCCTGGCTGGCCGCCGCAGAGACGCCCTTGGGAGGCGGGAGGCCAGGATCAAAGGCGGGAGGGCTGGGGGGTGGGGGACCCGCCCCAGAAACCGCCTCTCCCTTCCCAGTCCTGCGGCCCCCAGGCGGGCAGCTGCAAGAAGCCACCAGGCCTGTGCTGCTGGCGTCAGCTCCAAGACCCCCTCTGGAGATACTAGGCCCCAGAGGGTGGAGGACCAGGGCTGAGGTAGGTGAGGGGATCTTTCGTCTCCGAGGGGACCCCAGGGGCAGGCTGGGGCCAGAGGGACTCCAATAACCAGAATGCAGCCTGTGGCAGGGGCCAGAGGGGGTGCTGGCTACGCAGTGAGAGGTCCCGGCAAGGACCTCCAGGAAGCATAAGGTCCGGGCTAGCCTTGGCCTCTCCAGCCACTCAAGTTGTGGGGGACCCAGGTTCCCAGCGAGGAGTCGGGAACTCCTCCCCACCCACCCCTGAATTAGCAATCACACCAAATGGCAGCGTGTGGAACCTGGGCCTTCAAAGGTGTCACTGTAACCCCCTGGGAAGCCCCCCTCCCCCTCCCCCTCCCCTCGCCCTGGGCCTGGGGGGACCCACGGCTGCCCTGGTAGCAGCTGCTGCAAATCCTGCCCAAATTCATGTCCCACTCTGTGGAGACAGGATGGGGACGCCTGCAGAGCCAAGGCCCCCCCCGAAGCCTATAAAGGGCGTGCACACCCACACCCACGTGCAGCCGGCCCTCCGGTACCTTGGGGGAGCCTGGCAGCCCCTCGCTGTTGGACGTGGTGGCGGGAGGGCGCTCAGGGCGCTGCCCGGGCTGCCGCAGCCTCCTGGGCTCCCGCCGCGCCCCGATGCCCCCGAGGAGGAGGAGGAGGGTCACGGTGGCCCAGGCCCAGTGCATGGCGGCCGGCCCGCAGCTCCGACCTCGGACCTCGGCGGTGGCTCAGCGCTGCAAGCGGGGACACCCAGGCGTGCTCATGGGGGCAGCAGCGCAGCCGGCGCTCAGGACCCCCGTGCAGGGTCACGGCCCCAGGGGGCACCTGGCTGCCACCAGTGCATGTGCACACAGCTGAGCCCGGAGCAGCGGCGGGAAGGCTGGACAGGCAGATGCGCTTCTGCTCCCCCAAAGGCCCGCGCCGCCGCCAGATAAACCCTTCCCTCCTCCCCAAAGCTCCAAGGGGGAGGGCTCACCCTCGGCTGATCCGCCATCCGCAGGCGGGCGCCGAGGGCTCCCAGGCCAGCCCGGGGGCGGGGGCGTGGACGGGGGCGTTAAGCTGCTGCAGGGGCTGCGCCTCCCCCAGGCGCTCCCTGCCTTTGGAAACAGCCCCCACCCTTCCCCAGGAGGGCCAACTCACCCTGGAAACTGTTAACACGAATTCACCCCACCTACCTCCCAGCTAAGCTCTGGCACCTCACATCCAGCCCCTGCAGGGTGGTGGCCCAGGGTAGGGAAGCCCTCCATCAGGATGAACAGCCCCATCTGCCCTTCCTACGTGTGACCCACCTCACTCGGGCCCCCAGACCCTCTGACACAGCAACCCCTATCCCAGGGTGCTGGCAGTGCGTGCCCCGAAGCCTGGCTCAGACCCCGTTCCTGAGAAAGGCAGGACCCGGGAAGCAGGACAGCTGACCCACCAGGCTCCCAGCCTTGTTCTGGCCGTGGGCACTGCCCGCCCCTAGGGGTGAGCCTGGCTACTGAGAGGAGGGACTGACTGACCTCAGAGCAAGGGCGTGGTGGGTGGCCCAGGCTGCCCCCAGTCCTCCTGCCCCCTCCTCTTCTTGGGGCACAAGGCCAACCCGTACTGCCTGAGGGGCTGCCCTCACCCAAACGGGCCTCTGGCTTCCGATAGTCCTGAGCCAGCAGGGGCAAGGGAGGGGGAGCCCCCAGGCCTCTGCAACCTGGAGGTCCGCACAAGGGGGAGCCCCCGGGGGGCCGGCTCCCTCCACAGCTGTCCAGCCCAAGGAGAGGGAGCTCGGGATCTCCCCTTGGCTGGACCCGAGCAACAGTGGGCGGGTCCCCGGGCAGAGTAGGGGCCGGTGGCTCGCCACCTCCAGGCTGCAGGCAATGGGTCCGCCAGGGCCAGCTCAAGCTGCCAAGCCCTGCACTCATTCGCCACAGGATGGGGGCCTGAGTGGGCTGACAGCTGCCCCTCAGCGGGTGTGGACCAAGCCTAGGAAGGGTCAGAGCCACGGCTAGCCCCCGCAGGAACTGCTGCTTGCGATCCAGCCTAGAGGAAGGCGGGGCACAACGGTCCTGGGGAAGAGCCCTCCAGAGCACCCCTCGATTCCCAGACGTCCTCCAGGAATGCTGAGCCGTCCCACAGGCCTGGTGGGGAAGGTGTGAGGATGCCTGCCCGGGGTCATCTGTCCTCTCTCCTGGCTCAGGCAGAGGCGGTCGGTCACCTCCAGCGACAAGAGAGGCCGGTTCCGGTGAAGCCTGAGCTCGTTCGTCATCTCTCGCGTGTCCAGCTGGTGAGCTCCCCACGCCTGGGCTGAGGGGGGCCACACTGCAGAAGATCCCCTTGTGCCCTGCCCCATGGAACCCTGGCTGTGACCTGCACCCAACACCAGGTCAGGAAAGGCAGCTAAGAAGACGCCCCCCCCCAAGCTGCCAGACCCCCTTCACAGGCTGGGGACCTGTCTTCCCATCAACTGCATCCTGACGGTTTGCTTCTTGAGGACCGGAAAGCGTGTCACCAGAGTGGCATCGGCAATGCGCCACCTCTGCCCGGCTGCCGTGTGGGCACTGCCAGCTGCACCAGCCTCCGGCTCAGTCCTACTGAAGGCAGGTCAACGGCAGAGGGCCTCTGAAGCAGGATGGGGGAGCCACATGGCAATGGGCCTCAAACAGGTCCGACCTCGCCTGAACCACGTGCCCTGCTCCCATCCCCAGGCCCCTCGAGGATAAGCAGGAAGCGAGAGCCGCTTCTCCGGCCCGCCAGTCCTGGGGTCTCAGCCAACTCATGCTCTGCAGGAACTGCCCCCACGGGCTTGGGTCCAGCGTCAGGGAACCGGCTCTCTGCTTACAGTGCCCTCTCCCCACACCCCATGGGCCCTCCCAGGGAGGGCGGGAGCTGCCTGGAAAACCACCACAGGGGCCCTGCTCTCCAGTCGCCCACACCTTACTGCCCCAGNGGCTCTCTGCTTACAGTGCCCTCTCCCCACACCCCCCCAGTGAGCACGGGAGCTGCCTGGAAAACCACCACAGGGGCCCTGCTCTCCAGTCGCCCACACCTTACTGCCCCAGACACCAAGTGCCCGCCGAGGGGAGGCGCAGGCCAGCTGCCGGTTCTCTGTACCCACATGGCCACAACCCAGGCGCTGGGCGCCGTCCCTACAGCGGGCTGCCTGAGGTGATGCCCTTGGCACACAGAGGGCCGCTCTGCTGCCTGGGGACGTTCCCTGGGGGAGAAACGCTGGGAATGCCCTTCTCCGAGACGGCCGTGCACCCCTCCAGGACTGCTTCGCTGGTGTCCATGCAGGACCCGTCTCTGTCGGGGGCTTCTCCCCCTGGATTATGAGACTTCACAGCACGGCTTGCTCTCGGGCGTTCAGCCGGGCCAACCGGGGAAGCACACGCCCGATGGGTGACCTAAGGGTGCCCAGCTGCCCTCCACCAGGGACTCCACACGCAAGGGGACAGCGATTCCTCCAAGGAATCCTGTTCACAGGACAAGTTCACCTTCTGTTTTTTAATTTTTATTTATTTTAGGCAATCTCTACACCCAACATGGGGCTCGAGCTCACGACCCCGAGGTTAAGAGTTGCATACTCTTCCAACTGAGCCAGCCGGGTGCCCTAAGTTCATCTTTTACCTCGGGTCACTCACCGCGTGGACCCTGGGTGAAGGGTCTGTACAGCACGGATCTACTTCCACCACTGACGAAGGCTTTTAATAGCCGAGATTTCACGTACAGCAAAGAAATAACCCATGTTGAGTAAAATGTTTGCTAAGCCATCTACCTCCTCAAAACCTCAGGAAACAACTGTTTGGATCAGATGCCCACCTCCACAGACGCACCCTTGAGCCAGCTGTGGACAGGGCAAGGTCTGGCATCCAGCACAGAAGAGGCGGCCTGACCGAGCTCGCCCCTGCCCAGCGCTGCCCACACAGGGACCCAGGCCCGACCACACTCCCACCGGGGCCCGCGGTTATTCCTGGGGTGCCACCAAGCTGCAGATACAGTAGCTCCGGCCCCCCCACCCCTCAGGGCCCAGCCACTGACCTGCCCATGGGCTAGCCTGGCACTGGGCTGAGACGGACTTGTATTTCCGCCAACAGAGACTCAAACAGCACAAAATTTAGGAACAAAGGTATAATGAAAGATTTTTTTTTTCACACAAGTGGGTTAAATACACACAAGTGGTAAATTATAGAGCAATTTTAAATAAACTGAACAAAAACCAATGAAAGTCGAAGATGTGCAAGTGTGTGGCTGCACCTGAGGCCCCCTCTGGCCTCTGGAGTGAGATCACAGCCCCTCAGCCCATGACTCACAGACACAGTGCTTCCAAATAACGTCCAAGTGCAACGATCACGTAGGCACTTAACGGAAGACCTCAGCAATCCAGGGAGCCTGCTCAACCCCAGCGGCCCCGCCCGCAACTCGGACCAGCCCTCCCGGGGCCGCCTGAACCTGCTCTGGTGCCCACTCTGTGTGTGGTCTTCTAGGGCAGGAGCCCACACCGGATACGGAGCGGCTGTGAAATGGAACGTATGCGCCTACCTTTAGGGTAAACCAAAGATCTGGACCAAGTGTGAGGGGAGCCTGTCAGGTGCAGAACCCCAGGAGGCTGCTGGGGTCAGAGGAAATGTCCTGTGGGCACCAAAGGTCACCCCTGCAGCAGCCGGAAACCTGGAGGTGGCAGTGGGGAGCCCAGCCTGGCATAGGTGCGGGGGGGGGGGGGGGGGGGGGG